TTTTGAATTATATTAAATAATTTGTCTGAAGTGATAAAAGAAAAATTTATATAATTTATTTTAATTTTTCAAAATTACATTCATTCATCTTATAAATTGTTCAAACTGGTCTCCATTACAATTTAAGCATGCTTCTGCACTTCGTAGGAATTCTTTATTTGTTACAGATGAGATTTGCCCTTCAGTAAGTTGAGTACACACCGTAACTATTTTTTCTTTCAAATGAATAAGATTAGTAGGTGTGGGTTTGCATAGATTACAGTTTTTAGATGCCCCACAAAAATAATCCAATGGTGTAAGATATGAGGATTGAGGTGGCCATTTTATTATACCATTAGTTCCTATCCAATGATTTTCAAAATTTTAATTTAAATAATTCTTCACGACGATTGCATTATATTTCAGGGAGGGGGGCGCATTCTTGATGCAAAATTAAATTGTTTTTTGTTGCAAGAGGAATATCATCTAGCATGTTCGGTAGCTCATTCATTAGAAATTCTAGATTCCATTAATGTATACCATCTTAAAAATAAGATTCCAACAATTTACCTCCAATCAAACCACACCAAACACTTGTTCCTCAGATTGACTGGTTATTTATTAACTCCTTTTGGGTTTTTGATTGTTCCAATAACGATTATTATGTTTATTTATAATCCCGTTGTTGGTGAATTTGGATTCATCTGTCCATAATATGTAATTTAAAATAATAGGATTGTCTTCTAATTGAGTTACCTACCAAGAAATCGTAAGCTCAGCATCACCTTGTCGTAAGTGTTGAACTACATCAGGTCTGTATCTGCTGTGTTAATGAAATTGATGTTTTTTAAACAATTTTATGAAGGGCATTATGAGATATACCTATTTCAAAGCCGACATGACGCGTACTAACCCTGGGATTTGCTCATATACGTACGTTCACTTGATGCTCAATATCTTCTTCTAATGGATTGATTCGTCTAGGTTGTTCGTTGACACTAACTCCTGTGTTAGTAAAAGAACCAGTATTTCTTAAATTCCTTTCTAACTTATGGAAATAACTATGTGACGGGTGTTGCCTATCTGAATTTAAAAATAAAAAAATGGTTTTTAATATTTTGACCGAAAAAACCAAGTCATAAAAAGTACTAAATATTGATACCAACATATACTCGGGTAACGTTCAACATAAGCATATGCCACGTGACGTGAATGGTGAATTTTTTGTCATTCCTAGTAAATAAAAAGCATATCAACTTTTTCTGAATTATTCATAATTTATTCAAGCTACAAGATATGACAGTTATCAAGGGCGCTTTGAGGGGGGTGCGGCTTAAAAAAATTTTTTTTATGGTATTGAAAAGATTTTTTTTGCATAATTACCTATCTATTAAAAACTTTGTATCCGACGAAAAAACAAAAATAACTTTGTATCGTCATAAAATTTGAAAAAAAAATGTCTACGTATTTAACTAAAATAATTTAAACATTATTTAGAAATCAAAGTATACTATGCACGATGCACCCCCCTGACAAAATTCGGGTTGTCATAGAAAAAAAAGTTGTTTTGCGCATACGAGAAATGAAATTGCCTAAAAATAGTTTATAAATAACACCAATAACAAAAAAATTCAAATATATTTAATACCTATTTGTGAAGTTCGAGTGTTTCCAACTTACGATTACACTTTACACACTGTTCCATTGTTGGATTAGTATCTCATTGTATTAGATTCTGAACGGAGTTGATGAATGTATATTGATTTTACAATGATGTGTGGTTTTTTTTTTGTGTTTGTGTACAGCATAACTACTCGAAATAGTGCTTCATTTTCAAAGTTTGGGGGTGGTTTCCGATGTAAAAGTGAATATCCTTGGTGCATTATAGAGGTCAAAAGTAAAAATTT